CTGGTCGCAACCCGAAAAGTTCGTAAGCAGAGGCGTTCGTAACCCGAGGTACCACTGTATACCCTTACTGCTTCCATACATAGGTTGTATTTACCTACTTTTGAGAACTGCTAAGGACCAGATGATTTTGATTATGTCCTGATATGTAAAACCATAGAACTCAAGTAGGGTGTACTTTCTTTTTCACACGACTGTATATGCCATTAATCAGAAAAATTCCCAATGCAAATTAAAATCTTTCTAGGACAATACCTTATGCAAGTTGGCTACTGCAGTATTTTCTAGAAGGAACATACGCATTCTTAGATAAGACAAAAATTACCGTCTTGGTTTGACCACTATTGTTGTCTCAGTTTTTGGTGTGATCACTGTTATGGTAGCTCTCTTGTTGGGTAACTTTTAAACTCTAGTCTTCATTTAATTTGGTCAATGCTTAGGCACGCATCCAAGAATCCCTGTTGCATTCAAGGAAGGAAGGTTGTTCCACTGACAGATGAATTAAGATGGAAGCCTGTAGAGTAGGCTCAAAGGCTAGAGCTTAACATAGCTTGAGATCATCTACTTAAATAGGATATAATGCAGTGTCCCCAACTCTCAATTCCAAGTGATTCTTAGATTCGAACTCTTCCAATGACAGAATGCCACCAAGAATTGTGGAAACAGGTGTCCAGCTCAACAGATTGCTGAAATGAATGGAGTGGCCCTCCTAGACATGGAAGCTCCTTCAGTTCCTAGAATTTGGCACCTTCTAAAGTTGACTCTACTCAGAGGTCTTCTGTGGTTGGATTTTACAGGGATGTTGGTTAGTTGGTCCTTCAGAGAAGCTTGCCTGCCATTTCCAATCTTACTGAGGAACCTTGGATAAGCAACTGAGGAAGCAAAGCAGAAAAATTGAATATGGGAGTGGGGATACCAGAGTGGTATGGTTGTGGCAAAACAAGATATTGCAGTTTGCAACTGGAGCTTATAAAATTGAAAAATGGTTTGCAATATGTGCTTCCTATCAAATCACTCATTGTTTTTTATTTTCTCTCCTTTGTTTGCAGGTAGCTGTATCCAGTTGGGTGGCAGGCAGACCCAAGGGGTACCATGAAGTTTTCAGGACCCCTGGAGAGCCAGAGGTTGTCCATCCTCCTAGAGATGGCAATCTCTAGGGAAGCTCAGATGTGGAAAGTGTATGTGCCCAAAATTCAGCCCAATGAGGTAACATTCTTCAGTTTTGTCTTTCACTTAGGTTGCTTTAAATTTTGATTCAGCAAAATTGCAAAAGACCTTCCTACTTACGGGGAGCAGGTATGATGGAATTCATCCCATCTACTAGTGGATCATTGTGCCTGTTTGTTTAGCAACTTATGTTGCTTGCCTTTTAATTCTGCAAGATGAGTAATGCTTTGTTTGGTGAACACGTGTGGCGTCTGAAGAACATACTGTACTATGCTGCAACAGCTGTCAAATCGTTGTTATTAGAAGCCTACTTTTGTGTGGCAGCTTAGTGGAAATAAACGGGCTTGTTCCTTTAAGTGGTTGAGGAACTCCCTTCTGCCTTATGTATGCCTTGACATTCAAAGACATAATCCCTTTAGAATAGCTTTCCTTAATCCCAGCACTGTTGCATGTGGGTGGAGTAATGATACTGATTTGTGTTTTTGTTGTTGTATTGCTTTCAAGCCAATTTATGGAGGTTGGGGTGAATGCTGTTCAAGAATTATTCTCAGTTGGACTGACCTATAAGCCCAGCAATAAATCAGTAATATGTGGCTCACCATAAGAGTTGGACTATGTCTCCTTGCCCGGCCATTAGTTCTGCTAGCTTGGAATAATGGGTCTTGTAGTCTAACACATTTGGGAAAGACTGTCCTGGAAGGTTCTGTAGTACAAAGCAAATGGGAGTAGGGTCAACACAGAATGGATTGTCCCTTCTTGACTGGGACAAGTTCTGCTCTGTGTCTCTTATCTATCCGCAAGTTCTGATTAGAATAGAATTATATTATGCATTTATCCAGTACTTGTTGAAAGTTGAGCTGGTTGGAGGGCTTATTACTCCTTATCACAACCTCATTCAGAATGTCCTCCCTCCATGCGGACAGGCTGTAAATTTGGGTAGAGCTCATTTTGGTAACATCATCACATTACTAGGGACCAGAAGCCGGGGGAAAGTTTAAAAAGCAAGATAAGGCAAGTTCTGGCCACCCCATCCTAGGCTGAAAATATATTTGCAGAGTTTGTACAGTGTAGACCAGTGTTTCTCAATCTTGACAACTTCAACTTCCAGAATTCTGGATTGAGAAACACTGGTGTAGACACTGCAGGTGGCTAATTCTTGTTTTGAAAGATTATAGAATTGGGATACCCTTTGCCAAGGAACAGACAAATTGCTTAGGGTGGCAATGTCCTGCTTGCTTTCCTTGGCAGAAATGATTTCATATTTGTATACATTCATGATTACAGTTGGCTAGATGTCAAGTTTTTTGGGGGGGGAACAACTTGTGGGTGTTTTTTGTCTCTGAGGCCAAGATTGCTTGAAAACCATGGAAACGGCTTTGCCAATGGCAGGCATTCCATATGATTCAGCCAAGGCTTTTCTGAATGTTTCTGCTTGGTAGAAGAAATGGGACTGAGTTTGCCTACAAAGGGTCTGGTCCCTAGGTTGAAAAAGACAGGCTTTTTCGTTGCATCAACTTTGTGGGAAGAGAGAGCGAGCTTTGGACTCATCCAGATCGAGTTTCCTATTTTCCTGGCAAGCCAAATAATATTGGGGGAGGGGGGTTGTTTAAGGTGGGAAAACCTCTGCAGAAGTGCCCCCCAGGTATGAATAGTCCTCTTTTTTCCACCATGGCTTCTATGGAGGCAGAGAAGGATGCCTTCTCCTCCCCCTTCCTCCCTCCCTCCTTTTGATTTGTTGGAAGTAGCTTTCGTAAGATCTCAAGGACTTTTGCAGGCAGTGTTCTACTCTGGAGGCCATTGCTTCTCTTTCACCCCTGGTTCAAGGGTAGACACTCTTCATCCTGGTGTAGCCTCCTCTGAGCATGTTGCTGAAATTTGGAGATGTGATTTCATGGCATTTTGACTGAGGAAGGGCTTTGAAAGTCTCACATGCCCTAAAATAGGCTTAATGGAGCTTGGGAAAAAAAGAGTCAAAACTCCCACCCCCAAATCCAGGAAATTGGATTTTGTTGATTTGGACTAATAACACCAAGCAGCAAAATTCTGTTTGCAGCAGACCTAACTGGTGATAGCATCCCACAATTTTTGGAGAAAGTTCTTACTCATTGCATAAAATTTCAAACCCAATAGGTGTTCATCTCAATTGTTGTCCCTAAATTGCCTGCATGCATATAGTGTGAATAAAGCTCCAGTTCTGACTCTGAATTTTTCCTAGTTGCTTCAACTTATTGATAGATCAGCATCTGTGCTTGGAAGCCATTTGCATTTTATTTTTAATCCGCTGTTTCCAGCAGATTAGCATGTTTTTCCATGTTTGAAATTGCATTGTCTATTATTGATCCAGATTTTGATGTTAGAAAACACAGTTCTAGGAAAGTACTCTGGCCTAATGAACTATAAATGGTTTTGTTTATTTTTATTTCATGTTACTTTTTTTGCACAGATGGTTTTAATTAAATTGGATTTTTCAAAGTGCTTTTTAGAAGGAGAAGATGGATGGAATTCAGACAGTTGGATTTATAGCAAGCCAGTATATCGCCATAGAGAAAGATACTTGTCTAACATAGCTTTGAGCGTTTAACAATTCCAGATTTACGGTAGTAATATAAAATGATTTGTTTTAGAATGGGGACACGCATAAAGTATATTGAAAGAGACTGTGGACTTTTCTGTTGACAGAATTAATTTTGGCTTAAGATGGGTTGGATTTTTTTTCCTGTCAAAATCAGGCAGCTGAATCACTCATTAAAGGTATTAAAAGTATCAACAAATCCTTTTATTCTGAAAAATGGATTTGTAGTAATGTACAACTTAAAATATAACATAGGAAAATCAGAACAAAATTAAAAGATTCTTTCTAAGAAGCCATAATAGCACAAAGCTTATCCCACGCTATAGGCAGGATCAAGCCATTTAAACTTTGGTGGGCTGAGGATGATGGAAGTTGTAGTTCAGCACTTCTGGAAGGCAGTAGACTAGGAAGGGTTGATCAATCTTATCTGAAGAAATCATGTTATTTGCTCTGGATGTTTACTTGCTCCAAATGTTCCAATCTCTGTCCTCTTTGACTGGATATCCTCAAGGCTCTGGATGTTATTTTAAAAAAATAGAATTTGTGTGGTGCATGTGTTTAGATGTGTCATGGTGGCACAGAAATATTTAGAAGATCAGAATCATGGCATGTAGACCCTACAGGCTCACAGGAAAATCTTACTTATTTGATTTCTATGCTGTTCTTCCTTCCAGAGAACCCCAGAAGAGTTTCAAAAAGAAGGGGGGATCATCTTCAATTGTTTTCTGAAAGAAGACATCTTGGGGCCAAGTGAACATGTCTTGGCAGAGAGTTCTGTAACTGGAGCTCTGCTATGGAGAAGGCCCCATTCTTATCCACTGTACTGTGGCTATACCCACTGGTGGGATCACAAGTGGGCTTCGTGTTTGCTTAGAATTAAGTTCCATCTGTTTCAGTGAAACATTTTTTCCAAATAAATATGATAGGATTGTAGCACCAACCTCCAAACCTATACACACCTGAAAGTCTTGTTGAACTCATGCGCGCACAGGATTTTACTGCATGAGAGAAATCATGCACATTTGCTTAAACTGTGAAACTAAACCAATTTGTACCATATGGCATATTTGCTTTGCATAATGTATGTATCTTTCCCCTGCCCTTTTTCTCTTTACTCTGCATAAAGATAAACGAGATTTAGCATCTCTTTCGGCTTCTAAAGCCTTGATCCCAGTCATTTTTGTTTGTACAGACTTAAGGGTAGAAAGCTGCTTTTATAAGCTTATTTTATGTGAGAGCACAACATCTTTTGAATAGGAATTCTGTTCCCAACTTCAAATGTTGTGCTTTTTCTGTGCTCCAGAGGAACTGGAATATGTAACACACAACCTTACATTTGTGGATGGCTCATCAATAACTTGGTGAAGCCAGTCCACCATACAGATGGCGGGTTTCTGTTTGCACTTTTTCCTATGCCTATTGTTGCAATACTTTGGAGTCAGAGAAGTGAAGCCCAAATCTTCATTTTAGTCTGGCAATGTAGGTTTTTTTTTTTTTTACTACTTTAGATTTTATTCACTTTTTGTTCCTGGCTCCTGCAGTTGGCTGTGTGGGTGGAAAAGGAAAGTCCGCCGAAGCATAGAGTGATGAGATTGGCAAATGTTGTTTCTCTCTCCAGAAAACATAGCACTGTTCTGTGTTTAAAATCAGATCAGTTCATGCTACAAGCATCCTTAGTAATGCTTTCTTTTTGTTTTTCCACTGTTGAAAATGTTACACGCGGATCCCCCCCCCCATTAATTTTAAAATTGGAATTAAGCAAGTGCTTAAGATTTCAGGTTGAAAATATGTTGGGTGCTGAAATATGTCAAGAGATGCCTTTTGCTATGACTTTTCTTCTCTACCCTGGCATGTGGTTGAATGGAGAAGTGGGTCCCAAAAATTATCTGGAAATATTAGCACATGTGGAAGAGGTTTCTAGCAGTAACATGAAGAAGAGAGGGAAAAGTGAAGGGCAAGAGCTGAACCACTAAACAGAAGACATGGAAGTGGTGATGGTGGGGCTCAAACCATACTAGACCAAAGGTCCCACTGACCTACAGCTCCCATCAATAGCAGTCATTAAGGCCAGTGGACAGGGATTATGGAAGTGGCAGTCAACATCCCCAGAATGACTTGGTCAGCGTAGTCTAGAAGAATGGAATGTTCTGAAGTTGAGCATTCTGTTCCTGAAATTATAGATTTTGTACCTCTATGAATAAATATGAACAAAATATGAATGAGTAATGAATGAATATATATGAATAAAATTCATATTATTTTATCTAGTTTATCCAAATTTTGCTCCAAACAGAGCAGCATTCTATGAACTCTGAATATCAACAGACCTCAGGGTGCCATCCATGGGCACTATCGTACCTGTGGATTTCTTTTTTTATTTATTTCTTGAAAAAAAAAAAGTTTTAAAATATTCTTTTTATTTTAGACAGGAAGCTGACATGCTTCCCACATCATCTTTATTTCATAA